TCTCTCATGTGGATAGGTTCGTAGTTAAGCCAGGTGTGGATGAGAACTTGGACGAGAAGAAACTTCAGTACGAAGGTCTCCCGAATTTCCTAGAGGGATTGGCCAGGATGGAATTGGCAGATCTTCCGGATGAGATCCAGGAATGCCAAAGTGTGTACATCCCCCAAATCGGATATCTCTTGGCTGTCGGGGTGCCTCGGGAGGCCTCGGGTTCGGGACTGGTTCCGGAGAGTCCTGGCCTTAGGTACATGTTTCGCTCCGAGGAGTCCGTCTATTATAAGACCCCTCGTTGTGACGAACTCGACTCAACCCTTGGCGACATCCAGGTTAGAACGCTCGCATCAAAGCTCTGTTCACAATTTCAGGTTTTGCGTCCGAAACGTACTCAGAAGAGAAATCGGGAAAGCAATCATCCCTATTCGCATGATGAGGTATCAATAACGGGAAGAAGCAAGCAGAAACCCCGACAGTCTGCCGATCGAGGCATTGCTGAGGCTTACGAGTATAATTATTGAGATGTGAGACTTCCCAATGCGTCTATGAACTGCTTCTCCACTGATGACGAAACAAGTGAATAATTCAATCATGAGGGTAACATTGACTCCTGGTATCACATGGTCTGTTTTGAGCAGTCCTTACTTTTCTATCCAACGGAAGTTGACCCATCTTACCACCACGACATGCCTATCGACAGCTATTGGACAAAATTCTAGTAGCAAGCAAGCGATCCGCCCTCTACTTCATTGACCATGCTCTCTCTAAACAATCAGAGATGCCGAGCAGCAGGAGGAGGTCCTGCAACGAAGGCGAACTCTGTCGTCGCGCTTACTGTAAAAGCCACGACCAAGTACACTGTGCTGTAAAACTTGCCTTTTTACCCCTGAGAGCGATAGCCATATATCTAGAAGTTCTAAGTCGATTTTCGAGCAAAGACCACCGTTAGATTCCCCATATCGCAATGCCTATTCTTTCAAAGTTTCAGGTTTATAAAGAAATTCCCGGATTTGTCTTCAATCCGAAGTGCCACCGACCGTGAACTTGACTCAGAGAACGGTTGTTAAAAATATTGTTACTTGAATTTCCAGTCATATCAAAATTGCCATATAGGAAGGCTTACTATTCGAGATTGCTTGCAGGTTGTTCAATTTTGATCTTGGGCATCGCAGGTGGATATAGCAAACGTGGAGACGCGAATCATGACATCCCTGTCGGATGCGATCCTGGGTCACACGTCGAGTATCCTGTCGGCCCTACCTTGCATGGGGGAACTGGACGCCCTCATCGCCCTGGCCCTGACTGCCCTAAATCATTCCTGGACCCTGCCGGATATGTTGCCGGAGGGAGATTCTTCTGATTTCGAGATTCAGGATGGAAGGCATCCGTTGCAGGAACTCTGTGTGGATGCCTTCGTCCCGAATGATGCCAGGAGCTCGGAACGTTGTCGGATTCACATTATCACCAGTCCCAACTCCTCCGGCAAGACAGTCTTTCTCAAACAGGTAAGGAAATAAATAAAAGAAGTCTGGGCCTGGACAGACAGTGTGAACCACTTGCCAGACTTCCTTTATCAAAGATATCAAAGCATATCTGAAAAGCGGGCTCACTGAGAGCTGGGAAGTCACCAAAGCAGGGCAAATCACAAATCACCTAGCGACCTCTAAATTACAGACCTTACAAAAAATTTCATTCATACATTCTGAGTCACAAATCAATATTCTGATTTAACTTGTGAGAGCCAAATCAACGATGATTTTATGAGGCTCTAAGAGGTGCGTTCAGAAAGCCAAGGGTCGAAAAGTGTCTATACGCTCATGGTGTGGCTAATTTTATATGTGAAGAAGGAGGCATAGGAACGTACCATTAGCAATGCTGTAGTTAGTATGCGCGATACAGCTATCAGTTTTCATGAATAACTTGTGAGTGCCTTTATGTATCATCCGAACAAGTGATTACAAAATTGCGACAGGCGAGATATGGTAAATAGATTTGTTTGAGACAGGTCGGATTGATCGTGTTCCTGGCGCACATCGGCAGCATGGTTCCGGCTAAGAGAGCCAAGATCCCCATATTGGACGGGATCTTCACCCGTGTCCAGGCCGGGGAATCGGTGTCCAAGGGGATCTCTGCCTTCATGGCTGACGTCCACCAGATGTCCAAGATCCTCAGATATACGTCCAGGGACAGTCTAGTCCTCATCGACGAATTTGGCAAGGGAACTCTAAACTCGGATGGACTCGCCTTGCTCCTTTCTTGCCTTGAGCATTTCATTGCCAGAGGACTCCGGGCACCTCACCTCTTCCTCTCCACTCACTTCTATGAGGTAACAACGTATGAGTACGCCTACGTGTTCAATTTTTTCGCTTAAAACAAGAGTTTAAAACGGCTGAAGTTATGTAAGAAGTATGTAAGAGGATAAAGTGTAAATAAAAACGAAAAATGCTCTGAGATCTGAGATGAAATGTTCCACTGGACTCGTGCTTAGGTGTGGGATCGGTTGCCTCGTGAGAACCCTTTGATCTCATATCACACGATGGAACACGTGTATAGTGAAGAGGAGTTCGTGTGCCTCTTTCAGTTAGTAGACGGAAGGGCGAGGCAGAGTTTTGCTATGCGAATCGCAGAATCTGCTGATGTCCCCAAGGCCATAACGGAGCGAGCTGAGGAGGTCCGACAGAAGCTCGCAGCCTTCCTCCCCGTCAAAGCACTTAGAAGCTACGAAGACAGGTTGGAAATCCAACGCTGCCACTTATTCGTGAGAGCCTTTCTGGACATGGATGTCAACCTTGGAAGCCTCCAGGAGAGGATTCACAGACTGCTGGGGGTTCACCGCATCGGACAGCCCCTCCTCCTTCCGCCTCCCGACACAGTATCATCTTCTGACTTGGGACGCAGATCCTGTGCGGTCTCTGAACATACGGAGGAAACTTCAAGTCCCTCGGCAGATTCCGATTCATCATATTCACCTTTGAAATTCTGAGATCTGCTTTCTTTGCCGTTGCTTTGCAAATTAATATCTTTCTGCCCGTACTTTTGTCAATAAAAATTCTTACATGACTTCGCTGAGCTTATTATTAGGCGGACCCATCTTTCACGAAAATCTTGGCAATAAATTCTTGATAAGCCTTTCTTTCTTTCTGTGGGCTTTGCAATTAGAGCTTGTCCAGAGCTCCGATCGTAAAACTCGAGCACACGTCAGATTAAAAAATGCCATAAAAACGTCAGAAGTGCATATCACGAGATTGGCTGGACAGAGGCGGCAGGCAAATAAAAAAAAAGGAAACTATTTTTATGGTTCTTTCATATAGAGAGAGAGGAAGTCGCACCCTTTGAGGTCCCTTTTGTCTGACCCGCATTCGCCTAATTACAGCCTGCCACACAATGCTCCGTCTGTAATCACAGGTTTCCAGGGGAACAAGGGACTTTCTCCGTTCGGGAAAGGGGAAACAAGGGCGACAACAGTATGAAGGGGATACTGGCTGGAAGGCTGGTCCGAGCTGATTCTATTTTCGCCATCTGGTTATTTTCGGGGATCGAGAGGGTGATATGTTGTCGCTACGAGGCGTCCAGACGTACAATGACGGTACCGTGGAAAACCTTTGTTAGAAATCAAGCTTGTTCTGCATTAGTTTAGTGTAAATTTAAAATATACTATTGGCAAAAATAACACTAGGCCCGAAGCGTTGAACAATATCACCGGGATTTTACAGAATTAAGATAGGAGAGAGAAATGATGGTCAAATAACGAATGAACTTAGCCTAATTTATATGTAGGAACTGAATATGAATAAACGGAGAAGCCTACATACGCATCTAACCTCACACTGATTTTATTCTGTAGGGTTTCCTTAAAAACAGTGTACAAACAACATCCGATTCCTCGAACCTGTCAAAGAATCCGTATTTAAAATATCATTCAGATAACCCTTCTGACCTCTCACGTCATGAACAACACCAATGCATGCAATCTGTGATTGGATGCCGTGATTAAAAGGCGAATATCTTCCAAGGGTGCCGTAGCAATCTCCTCAGCGTTCGGAGTGTCTTGATATACAAATTGAGCATTTCCATAGCAGTTCTGAAACCATTCAGTTATGAAACTGTAATGGATTATTTATGTATATATTGTTATGAGACACCCTGGTGTGTATTATATCAAGGTTAATACATTTTTGTTAATTTGACTGGTACTGTGTAACATCTGAAGGCATCTAGAATGTCCTGCGGAGGATCTTCCTGTCCATCCTTCTTGCTGATAAGACTATTACAGTAGAGATGACCTCTTATGTCCTGATACTGGTTGGCTTCAAGTAATTATCTTAGATTTATATTACATCAAAGGCACTTCCATGTGCAACCCATGCGAGTTTCAAGAAAATATCAAGCGAATCTATAAAGATCATATTTGAAAGTGTTCTAGATACAGCGTTGCTTATATATTGTTTCGATGAGCTTCTTATGCCGAACTTCAGCCTTGAAAAATGTACCTATTTTACAATACGCGGGCTATTGGTAGTTGTGCTCTATTTAGAGAGCATGTAAGTGAATGGAATGAGGTTTAGTTGAGAGGCATGCGAGTGGGGATCGGATTTAGTGCGGTTAAGGACGAGAGACTAAGAGGTGCGATTTGGTGAAGCACCCTGTAGCGCATGTCCCAGGGAAAATGGCCATGGCCCGAGGGGGAATCCGAGGCCATAATCATTTCGGGGCTCCTTTTGTTTCTTCATAATTGAGCGAGACAGGATGCCTTTGCCTCAGGCCATGATGCATCCCCCCTCGTGTCTTCGGCCTCGTATATTTACGAGCTTGGATCCATCTGTGAGAATCTCATGTTCAGCTGAGACGGGACCTCTTATATTTTCCATACCTCCCTTTCTTTTTATCGAATCTCCTTTGTATTTATCCCGACTTTGGGTTTGGATGAGATGCAATCGCCCAGCTGCGGTATATTGAGGGGGTGCAATTACTTTTATGGTACCTCCATGGTAAAGTCATAAAAAATTCTCTGCTTTTATTGCAAGGTAAGAAAATCCCTCGAACACAAGTCACGGCCTGCGAAAGTAGAGCTTTCAACAGTGAGATAAAGGAACATCACAGATATTTAACAGGCCTGATGCCGAGTATTACACGTTGGTGGATACGGGGCCGTACGCCAGAGGTTTGAGCTGACTTTGGCTTGGAGCATGCTTGTTTTTGGGGTCTTTGCACCGTTTCCCCGCCCAAGAAATCCAACTTTGGCAGGTCTTGTAACTCCAGACCCACATCCCCGATGTCACGCCCACGACCAGGTTCATGAAAATTTTGAGCATCAGGATCTCCATGCTAGGTTTCGTGCAATCCGACCCACTGCACATGTTAGACCCGATTGTTCGCCATCGGTCTCGATAACTCCACTCGTAAATGTGACACACGATCACGCACAATGCGGGCACGGCATAGAGCACCGAAAACACCAGGATCCTAACCATGAGTTTCTCTAATTTGGCGATGTTTCTTCCACCCTTCTTCATAACATTCCGGATTCTGAGCAAGGCAACGAACCCGGACGCAATGAAGAGGACACCTAACGCGTAAAAGACGCAGAGGGGAACGATGACGAATCCGAGTAAAGCGTCCGAGTCCGTGTAACCGACGTAACAAAGCCCGGTGAGTTCATCGGCGTCCACCTGCCTCATGGTCAGGACGATGACCGCGAGAACGGCCGGGGTCAACCAGGCTCCCACATGGAAGTAGGTGGACAGGGCTTGGACACTCTCGTTGGACCACTTCTTGCCCGCACTCAGGAACCAGGTCAAGGTGAGAATAACCCACCAGATGCAAGACGCAATCCCGAAATAGTAGAGGATGAGAAAGACGACGATGCAGCCTGTGTTTTCCACTCCTTCCACGATCAGATATTCGTGTCCGCTGTTGGTCCGATCGCAAGACACACTTTTGGCGCCGGCGAACGCGCGCACGAGGAAGGCTCCGGCATAAAGATTGTAGCAGAGAGAGAGAAAGATGATGGGTCTTTCCGGGTACTGAAACCGACTCATGTCCACCCAGAAGGTAGCGACGGTGAAGAAGCTGGACAGGAAGCAGAGCGTAGCCCAGACTGTCATCCAGATCTCGGCGAAGCGCTTGTCCCGCTGCGCGAAGTGGACGGCGATTCCGCATTCGGGAGCACAGGTAACGTCCCTTCCCACGTCCCCGATGTACACGTGTCTCTCGGGGCAAGTTCCGTGGGATGGGAAGGGGAACAGCGGGGACTTGGACCTCGTTGCCCCCCATGCCTTCCACATCTCCCCTGGGAAGTCCAGCAACGTGTTGGATGTTTGGGTCTGACCTGGTTTTGGGGCCATACCCTGGGGAGATTCTGGGAATTCCATGCATAACCCTTTGTTTGGCACCGGGAGACGAGAACAGTTTAACATTTGCGGCCATTCGAAGTTGAATTTCCGCAGCACTGGGAGGCATCCTTCCTGGACCTAGAGGGGAAAAAAATATCAACCCATGATGACAATACGTATATAAGGGTCTGTCCACGCCAAGTGGTCTTCGGATTTTTGTCGGAAATTTTCCCAAGTATGCAAATATTACTTTTGCTACAGAAGTTCATCATCTCTTTTCCCAGAAGACATGAATGAAAGAGAATATTACATTGAAAAAGGAAAAAATTAGTCATGATATATTATGATATATTATTCATACCATGATATGATATATTATTCATACATGATATGATATATTATTCATACCATTCTCATGATACTCAAAAATGGGATGAAAATGCAAATCTGGAGAGACTGAATTGGACTACTGGAACAGATGCCATCATGGGCTTTCCATGCATACTAATAATTTCAAATCAGCTCAAGTGTGAAGAGTAGATGTCAATTGTTCACATTTTAATATCTTCAAATTAAAATTAAAAGATATGTATAGACTTCCCGTTCAAAATACATTTTCAGAACTCGTCACATCCGACACCGTCACAAAATAGGCTTACTTTCTGTTTCAAATGTTGTCTTCTTGGGGTGACTAATTCCAGACTTTCATTCAATCTCTAGAATGAACATGAAACTAAGTTATTAGAGTCCGCTAGATGACAGATATGTGAACATTAGAGCAAGTGACTTTATCTTGAGGGTTCACAATGTCACGTCTGACACTTTTCTTTGCACATAGGTACACTTCTTAACAAAAGAGAGAGTGCAAGACTTTGGATTAGGGAATTTTCAGTCACTACCCAAAGCAAATTGTTGCAGCCTTTATGAGCTGATTTGTCATCCATATAGGTAAATTAATTTTTTATACTAAACATATTACTCCGGATGTCACGTCCGACACCGTGGACAGACCCATAATGAATGGTTTTATATCAAAATATTCGTCAACTCTCTCAACTAAAAGTCCCTAAATGACACAATTTCTAGTCTAACCAGAACTTCTGTCTTGCCATCCTCTGAATTAAGCTTCTTCTGAACGTCTCAATCCGCATTTTTGGGAGTAAAAATTTAGATAATGTCGGATATTACTTCGAAGTCATTGATATCATTGGGCAATGAATGATCCAAATCATTTGGAGTTTTTCAGGATCGCAATTTTTGCTTGATGGGATTGTCAAGAACATCTTAATGAAATCATGAGGTCTATAACCACAAAGGCGACTAGAGCAGCAATTCCCAGACTTCTTTGACCTCTTTGAACCCACTTGCTGATGTTAAAAAAAATTTCGCGACCCACCGGAATCCAGAATCGACCTATTCTGCAGGGCATGTTTTATCTTGAGCGAATGCGGACATAGTGATTTTTTACACTGGAAAATGTTCGCGACCCACCTTGATGCCTCTCACAACCCACAGTTCGGGAACCGCTGGATTAGAGGATGGCCCAAAATCCTCGTGAAGAGAGAAACGTTTTTGTGTAAATACCCGCTGTAGACAGTAAGAGCATTTTGGAATGCAGATATAATAAATGGATAGACAAAGTTCACGAATAGTATACTGGCATTGGACACAGAGCGGAGTTAATTGATGACGGAGGAACGACAGGGAAGGTTCTTCGAAACTCAGCTTCAGCCTATACATCCACCTGTCGACAACGACTCCAAGACATTACTGTAGACATTAATTAGTCTCTCTCGAGGGACAGTCACTCAATCAATTTTAGGAGGCTCATTGCCCAGATTTAGTAGACCTTCAGACCACGATTGTAATCATCAGTTCCTGACAAATTCCCGGATTGAGGACCAAGCTTTCATTTGCTGACTAAGTATCCACATATTTGACCTAAAGGAAAAACGAATCCAAGTCGTTCTTATTTCGGTTTCCACTGACGATTGCAGTGTCGTCAGCATATTTGAATGAGACGAACGAGGGGGATTGGGGGCTCGAGTGAACATAAACGGAGATAAAACTCCACGTCATAAAACTCATATGAGATATGGTCGTCGAACGGAACACTACTCTCTCAAAGGTATGCAGTGAGTGCTGTCAGAGAGATAACTTCGGATACGCGTCAAAAGCAACCGAGGAATTCCATCTTGGGCAAAGTTACAAGGAAATAAGTAATGATAAAACTTCATTAGAACATCTTTTTAAAATAAAAATGCTTCCTTTCCGATTGCAAGTAATCATGAAAATTAAAAATACCTCTCGGCAGATGCTCTGGCAGGAGGGAATAGGAACGTCGACCTGGGGCGTGCACATAGGGGCATAAAGGGAGCAAAGAAAGAATCGGAGATGCCGGCTGCATCCCACTTCGACCAGTGGTTTGTACTCGTGCACCTGTGGTAAAAAAAAAAGAAGGAAATTATAAAATCCGATTGATATATAAAACCATTTTCAGCTAATTTAAGAAATAGAATAGGCCAAATTTCCTGTATAATGTAATCCACATCTTCGAAAAATGTACACAATTTGACAGGACCTGCAGAATAAAACGATAACTGTAGAGCCGCGACTTAAAAGGAGAAAAAAAAATTCTCACTGTAAATGGAAATCGCTCCAGATCATTATGAAAACATAGCTACGAAAGTGTTGCTGGTATCTATCCTCATGCATGTAAACAAGACACTGTTTCGGAGAGAAGGGGGATCGTATATTTATGAGTGAGAAGAGACGTTGATTCCTCCAGGTCAAAGCGGAACAGGCAGCTGAAAGACACAAGGAACGGAATGCTTGCAATTCCCCTTCCCCCTGAATGGCTTCCTTTCAGGAGAGGATATCATTTCAGGGAATGTATCGCAACAACCCCTGTGTGCATGTGTGTGTGTGTGTGTGTGTGTGTGTGTGTGTGAGTCTCTGTGTATGTGCGTGGGATGAGAACGAAACAGCTGTGCAGCTCTCTATCTCTCTCTCTCTCTGCATTTCCTGTCTCTCTCTTTTCGGCGCGGGACGTCAAAGACAAAAAGGAATAAAAACCGGCACGCCGAGTCATAAAGACGAGACCCCCTCGTTTTAATGATCCTTCAAACAAGAACCTTCTTTGTCTCTGGCAGGTACAGCCCCTCTCTTTCAAGACAGAATTCCTCTCTCTCTCTCTCTCTCTCTCTCTCAAAGGCTTTTTTACGACGACAGCAGGCTTGTTGACAGGCCTGACCTGTCCTTCATGTAGTCAGATCACGATTCTACCCTCCTCTTCGTATGCTTTCTTAAAACATGAATCCGATATCATGTTAGAGAAAATCCAGTTCATGTTCAGGTACTTAACCCTAATTCCTCTTCGTGATCACGTGTATGCTGCCGCACTCTCACGCAAATGAAACTATCCAGCGTCTGTTCGTTAAGAATCTCATCTGCAATGTTTATCTTGCACTACGTAATAGGCCTAATAACGCGGTACTAGGTGCATTCTGCCGCGTGAGGCAGAATGCACATGGAAAGTATGTAAAATCGCAATTTATAATTGGGATTCTACCGTAGACAAAGCTATGCTCGAATCTCGAAATTCTTTTTTCTTCTATGTCTAATCCAGATAAATGCTATCGATATGCTCGATCAGGAGATATAATGAAGCTCATCATGACCACCCTCGATGACAAGATAAGAAACAAAAGAATGAAGGAAAAAAAAGGACTGACCTGAATGGCGGCTTCGGCCTGGTTGGTATGTCCTATGTAATTGGGCATTCGGGTGAGGTTGTAGGGCATATCCTGGCACATGGGGATCGTGATCCGCTCGCATTTTCCCGCCTCATCCCCGAAAACACAGTACGAGGAAAAGAAAGAGGAAAGGAAGAACGCCAATCGGATGATGGGGGTCCTGTTGTAAGGGCCCATGATGACAAGCGAAGATAGGGTGGGGGCCGGGACCGGACCCGCTCTCAATCTCAGCGTCCTTCTCACTGAGCTCGGGCCGAACACCGACAAAGAGGAAAAAGGCTCGCTCTCTCTCCCGTCGCTCTCTCTCTCTCTCTCTCTGAGCCAATTTCCACACCGCCCTAGGGGTTCTAGAGCCCTCCAACGCTCCAATACTTTCCAACCATCTCATCAATACCATCTTGAACAGGAGTTTTTGGACATATTCTTCTTTGGCTATGACAGGAGAGACGACTGCCTAATGTGGGTAACATGTAAACAGCTTAAGAAGTTGAAATGAAACGAACTGGTCCATGCATTTATCTTTTGTGCGCACTAGAAAAATCGTAATTTGCTACTAATTTTTTTTTTCTATTTATACTTTTGTTAATTCAACGGGAAGCCTCCATTACTACTCAATGGATTTTTCGGGGCAAACACATTTTACCACGAGAGATGCCAAGAGATTCCGGTTGGATTACTGCTGCAGAGTACTCAGGCAGAAATTTGGAACTGCATGGACATTAGGCGAACGTGAAGGACTCTACGAAGTTTAGGGCCCCCAATGGGGAGGAAATAGCCCTGGTGTGATTGGATTTTCTCCTCCCTTCGAAAGGAGAAGACACTTCAAGTCGAGAAGGTGTGGATTCCCGGGGTGTTCATCTAATACCTCCCTCCCAAGTCGCTAACATACTAGAAGAAAATATTTCTCCCCTGTATTCCATGTCCTCATTATCATACCCTTCGCGGTTTTCCGTAACCCAGTTAGATTATCGGAGTCCCGCTGACTGCGGTTAGCCCGGCCCCTCACCAGGCTTTTCTTTCGGGAGGTTCCCCCGATTCATACAAAAAACTATCGGATGGGAAGAGGAAATTAAATCTAACAGGGTGAAGCGTGGTTTGTGGTTTTGAGAAAATGATACGATATGAAATCGAAGAAACTTAACTGCACGAAATGTATGAAGAATACGATTCTAACCGGAAGCACGTACCTAACGATGAAAGTGCGCGCATGACAGAACGGAAAAGAGAGCAATGGTTCACGGTGTTCGTCACCCTTGCGCTTGTCCTTTCCGCTCATATTTCGCTAAATGAGATTTGCTTTTGCACTGCTACTTCTTGTATCGCCCTTGTTGCTCCTTGCACTGCGACCTTTTCTCGTGCATTCGGGTTGAAACCTTTCGTCAGAGGCTGTTTTTGACCGGCGAAACGCTCACCATTCCGAACGTTACCTTGAAAGCATTCAGCTTGTTATTATTGTTGGGAGAAATGCTTGCTGCTGTATTTGATAATGGAGTTGCAGGTATTTTGTTGCTGTCAAAGGCAGAGAGAGGGAGAGGGAAACATGAAGTGCGAGAGTATTGGTCGTTCGGTAAGATAACAAACGGTGTTCCATCCCAATTCCAGGCACGTCAATGTTTCTATTGTTAGGTTATTCCGGTTTGCTTCCGGTGCTCGATAAATGTTAAAAAGTGCGATTCCTTTTTGTGATATCGTACGATCGTTTTTTGAGTGAGATTCAACATGGCTTTGTTGTGCTTTCAGGTCGTTTGATAAATGCGAACAACAAGCGAAACAAGTTGAAGTGGTTCAAGGTCACCGTTTCGTTTGAGCTTGAATCAGAGCATGGGGTATCCAAAGGGCATAGATTTTCCTTGGGTCCAAATGATTGTGCAATTTGACGCTGTTAATTCAATCCCAGGAATTTTCTCACCAGTAGCATCAGTCACTAGGAATTTCTTCACTATTATGGACTTCTCAACAGCTACGTTTGCCTATCACTGACTGCAATATGGAGACCTTCACGGGGACCCTCGTCCGAGATGAAGCCCACCTGAATTTTCGAAGCCAAATTTCCGCAGTGCAAAAGCATGGTGTTCCTCTGTTAAATATGCACCAATCTTTGGAGATTCCCCCTGCGAAGCCTTTCATCAAACTTAACTAAATCATTAATGAAAAAGAAAAAGTTGACTTCTTTAAAACTTGTTGACTATCCCACGTATGAGTGGGAATTTTTTAATTTTGAAAGGAGGGAAATTCAGAGTCTGAGGAATCCTTGGAATACTTTTACCGATCTGCATTTTAAAGGGATAAATAGAAGAGAGAGAGAAAACATGGGGAGAAGGGAAGAACAGAGATTATTGAAAAGGATTACTAAAGCACTGCGACCAGACCCTCGTGAGGCGCCCATCATGGTGGAAACAAATCGTTGAGGATTTTGATTCTTGTGCGCTGGAAGACCAAAGGGAAGGGGTGGAGGGTGAAGGGTGGAGCCAGCCCCTCCTCTTTCAGCTTCTCCCATTTTTGTCATGAATGATGGAAGACTGGGAACGGGACATTTTCACTTGCTCCCTCTTCTTTTCTTTCTTTCAGACTGAATTTCGACGCTCTTGTACTTTTCCCCCGAAAAACTCGGGTCAAAAGCGGAAACATTCTGAAAGGTGTTTAACAAATACATTTCAGAAATGCAGCATGACTCATGAGCAACATCGCCAAAAAAAATTCAATTCAGCATTTAAAGAGCATTACCGCTCTTTGATGATGCATGGAAAGGCTGGAAAATAAGTGTCCCCTAGAGGTACCGTATTCACGTTATTCCCTTAGCTAGGGAATCCCTAAACGCACCCGAAGAGATATAAGAAATCGGAAAGAAGTTAGGAGAGCCTTCAGTCGCCCTTAGCAGACTCCTGCGAGTTCGTCGCACTCTTTCAGAGAGCAGAAATGCCTCTTCAGTTCTCTTTTCGAGTTTTTGCCTTTGTTACTGAAAACGGTTTCGAAGAATTAATTTACCTGTTTAACAGATCATGCCCTTGTAGTTTTTCATAATTTCATAAGCGCTCCTGTCGTATTGCATTGACGTTGAGAAACATTGATGCAATATGTCAGACATTGAAACTTCATTAATTTTGCAATGCTGAGTTAGCGTTGTTTTTACAGGCGTTGTTGTTTTTACACATCGTATTCGTAGATTCAGGATTACTTGAATGAATTCATTTGGCAAGAATTCCTCATTGGAGTTAACTTTACAAATCGTTTTCTTCTCAGTCTCTAACAGGTGCTAACAGGTAATTCTCATATACTGAGATACTGATACCATCCTGCTGCACCAAGAGCTTTTTCCACCGCATCGACGTCCTGGGGTGCCCCCCTGGCACATCCTCTTTATCAAAAATCCGATTTTTGCAGTAGGAACGGGAAAAAGTGGAAACTTATTCATGTGCACCCTTCCCAAAGGACCAAAGTGTGTGTGTATCCATCGAAAATTTGGCGAAAATCGCATAACAAATGCCATTTTTAGGGGAATTACCTTTTCGCAGGCTTGCCAGATAAGCCAGGTTGGATGGTATGCCTAAGAAATAGACTCACCTTCAATGAATAAGCGTCCAAATCCTGCTTGGCATCCATTTTCATTCTCTCCCAGAGTTTTTTGAGCTGAGGGACCTTTATAGGTTCGTTAGCGGGAAACAGGACTTTCATNCGTTCGCAAGAGAGATCAGGAATCGAACAGTTGAAAAGAACATGGCAGCCTCCTGAGTCGTATAGGGGTCTGCGTCGCTGACTCGCTTTCCTTTCTTCTTTCGCTAGCAAGTCCAAGAGGAGAATGGCCGACAGTGACGAGAAGCGAGCCGATAGGCTCAAGAAATTGAGAGAACTGCATAGACGACGGGTGAGCCTGTCTTGCAACTATAGGATGCCTTGCGATAATGAAATTTGTCGTTATTTAGGTGTGGGAACTACAGTGTTTCTCACTTAAGTCTAACAATTTTTCACTTGACTCGGACATTCATGCATTATACCTTCCTTATGCATAAGTGTGAAAATTCATGTGAGAAACTGTCTGGTTCAAATAAAATACATGATAGATAAAGTTCTGTGCGTAACATGAACCACTGGGAGGCCAGCGCCTACCATGCAAATTCAAGAGTTTTGATGGGGCTCAACAAGTATCTTTTTCGGCAGAATGAGGCACGGCAGCTCAACCATCAGGAGGTCATTGAGGAGGATAAACGTAACAAACTGCCTACAAACTGGGAGGCCAAGAAGAGACGAGCAGAATGGGAACTTGATGAGGACAGGAAGAAACAAGAGGCTGTTGAAAAGGTGAGTACAGACCTTTGCCTGTGTGCATGTACAATCTCATGGATAGAAATGTCTTATTTGGAATAGTGACTATAAATATTAGGCCAGTCTTTTGAGATCATTGGTGCATCAAGTTTCCGGAGGTTGCAGAGTAAAGTACATAATAATTTCATCCCCCCTCCTCCCACTTGTCAGCCCTGCCCTGTCAACTTGGATAAGTGGGGCAGCCAAGCAAGCTAATAGACGTTTTAAGGATTTGTCTATTATAATGAAAGTGGAAAAGTCAATAAGTAAGGCAGGTTGGCAAAACTGATTTTTTAGTTCCTTCTACCCTTCAAGGATGGGAATGGGGAGGGAGTGAACTTTTGTCCTCACTATTGGTGTGATTATGAAATGAGATGCTAGCTTGGTCCTTGCATGTTTGTCACATTTGGTGTTTTAAGTGGCTCTGCTTTTGATGGTGTTTTACATGGATGAAGGGGGAAGATTATGAGAGGCTGAAGATGTTGGACCAAGGTGCAGATGAGATTCAACGCTTTGAAAAGAGGAAGAAGAAGAAAAATCCAGACCCTGGGTTTTCCAATTTTGAGGATGCCACCATCAGGTCTGTCTCCTTCAACTTCTTATTTTTTCTCAATTCCAGATGTAGGCACTAACTCTTTAGGGACACAGGCCTCCAATCTCTGGCCATTGTGTCTTGTGCTCACCTTTGCTATAAACCTTCCCCATGCACACCATGTACACTGCAATCCCATTCTTCCTATCATCATCTAACGTCAACTACACTGTAGTCGCCATGTATCCCAAAGTTGCCATCGACACTTCACGACTCTGTTGACCTCTCCTTGGGGGCTTAGAGGCTGCCAAACTCACAATGCACTGTGACACTTGTGTCATTACTGTTCTGAAAGTGGGACCATCCCACCTCGTTGCGTTCACTCCCTAGGCTAATTGGAATGAGGTTCGCATGTCGAATTAACATGCTGTCGTGCAAGGCAATAAGACTTGCATAAGGAAGCAACATGAATGGCGAATACAAAGGATCCCTGCTTGGAAGTCGCCATCCATGGATGTAAGAGAGAAAGTGGCTGCTCTGTCCATGTGCGTGTGTGCAGAATGATGGCCAATTCATGTTTGTCACATGTAAAGCCAAAGGATCTTAGGCCATGATTGGAATAAAGTTCTGTTGCCATAGTATAGAGAAAATGATAGAACTAGCAATATAGTGGTGACTACCATGTTGGTGACATTAGACATTAAGTTCATGCCTGTGCATTACACTTGAAGTGCCATTTCTGCATAAGGGAGCATAATTCCTGAAAATTGTCAAGTCCCTGGATGGGAGCACGTGTCCTCGTATAGTAAAGTTGCTATCTGTTGGATTGTAACCATCCCATATCTCTTAAGAGTGAATTCTTCTCAGGCTTGCATGAATATTCATGGAAATGGACAGAGAATAGACACCCAAGTAATTCTGAATAAGTCACTGCTGCCACATTTACTCTTGCTCTTGGAATTGTTGGTGCCATTATGGCTCCCTCTTGATATAATATAGGGACAGAATCTAAATTAATATAGGAATGGTGTTCTGGTATATACCAGGTGGCACATAAAAATTTGCAGAGATTATTGCATTTATTTCTCAACTTCTGGATGAGGCAGGGGTGTACAAATAATAGCACAAATACAACTAATTTTCCTCATGGCCATGTGAAAACTATACATTTCTTGCTACCGGAGCCCATTACCCATGGCAGTTATTCTTTCACACCTTAACATTTTTCATTTCATGCCTCACAAAAAGATGTGCAATGGGTCCTCCTTTGGTTTTCCATATAGTATCTAATCTTGCTTTCCATTAAGTGATGGACTTGCTGATCTCCACGGTGATCTCATTCCAGGCCTGTTGAATGTTGGCTCTCTGACATTGGAGTAATGTATATTGGATCACTTGGCTTACCAGCTAGACTTATAGCACCTAGAAAGATATCAGCTTGATGACATATGCACTTGTGAATTAGTCCCTCCTTTCGAACTGGGTGTGATATGAACATTTTGTGGTGTCTTAATTTAATAACCACTTGGGTTGTACTCTGGTAGCTAGAAGTTTAGTTTTCTTAGGGCCTAGAGAAAAGATAGATGCAGACATGGAACAAATTGTACATCTCTGCCTGCCTCATCTTGAAGTTGAGTAATGAACACACAAATCCCTATGTATTTTTTTTATGCACCACCCAATATAAGCTTGGAGATTAAATCCTATCAAGGGAGTCCTACTCCCTCCAATGGAAGGGAAATGAGACTCCAAAGTATAATATAGTGGACCATGTGGCTTCACTGGGCTGTGAAGCATATATGAAGGAACTGGAGTGTACAAGGTTTGCACAGGGAAGGTCTGTAGTGAAGATGAGCACACCCCTAGGTAGGGTGGGATGTGCACAAGATGTACTATGCCCCAATTTCTTTCCTTCTGTGTTTTGCACTTGAGTTAGACATTTATTCTCTTGCCTTTGATGTCCATGTGTGGAAAGTGCCCCATACATTGATGTCCAAATCGAGTGAATTTGTCTGAGTGAAAAACCCTCACTGTCTCTGAATGCCAAATACAGATATCTTTCCACCATAAGAAATAAATAGAGTTAAAAAAAGACCCTATTTCATTTATCCACCTTTATTGGGGTTTTTTAAAATATTATCTTGGCCCAAATTAGGGGAGCGGCACCAGTTCGCGAACAGGGATCCAGTTAGTGAACGAGGGTCATGAAATGCGATTTGGTCTTTTGTTTCTTGAGTTACACGCTCCAGCTTTTGGTATCTGCAGAAAATGGATTGATTGATTAATTAATGCTTGGGATGGAGAGTGAAACTAGAGTAACAAAAGGCCAAATCGCATTTCATAACCCTCGTTCGCTAACTGGCTCCCTGTTCGCGAACTGGTGCCGCTCCCCTATATATATTTTTAAAGAGGAGTCACATACAGGATTTCCTTTACTTCTTTTTATTATATTATGATATTTTCCCTTTTATTTTATTTGTGTTTTTTTTGCTATTGTTGGCCTCTCTTTTTTTTACAGTGTACTATTTCATATAATGTCTTAATTGTTGAAGTCATGTTTTGCTTGTATTTCTCATGCAGACAGTACAACCGATTGGTTAAGAACTTGAAGCCAGACATGGAGAGTTATGAGAAACAGAAGGAGAAACTAGGCAATGCATTCTATGCTGACAATCAGACCATCATCCATGGCCTTCACAAGGATTCCCCTGAAGCCATTCAGAAATTGGCTGAGGGTGTTGAAAAACAGTCAGTTCTTTTTTACCTTTTCCCTTGGCTGCTTTTGTCATCATTTGGTGAAGGAAACCACCAACTCACCATTTTTCTCTCATTCAGGATTGCCAAGAGGGACAAATTCAGCCGAAGGCGAACATTTGACCCAGATGCAGATATTGACTACATCAATGAGCGCAACATGCGCTTCAACAAAAAGATTGAGCGATTCTATGGACAATATACATCAGAAATCAAGCAGAATTTGGAGCGTGGAACTGCTGTGTGAGAAAAGGTTCTCAAAAAATTTTTCCATTGGTAAATGTGTTACTGTGAAGGATATGACTTCAACCCTTTGGATCTCCATGATGGAGTGTGCAGCACAATCCCAGAGATCTGGTGCATGTAATCTGTATTCCATTAAAATTGTTGTTGTGATGCTGTGTACTAAGTGAATGATAAGAGGATAAAAGTATCCACTTTGAACATGAAAAGAGGCTTTCATTGCTTTCTGAATCTGGGAAGTTTGTATGATGTGTACAAAAATATACTTGCTTTAGAATTAAATGAATTTAAAATTTTATGTATGAGCACAAATTAAGTTGGAAGAGACAAGCATAGATCTCTAGGATTAATACTATATAGTGTCACAGATCGGTTAACTTTTGAAAGTGTTTTGTGTAGTAGAGAGTTGACTATGGGCTTAGTTTTGTACTAATATTACAATATTGCTTTTTCATGTAAATCCAGCAATATTTTCCCCTTTTGAGCCCAGTCCTCCTGCTCTTTATTATAGCATTTTATGTGCAGTAGACCATTATAGATGGTAGTAAGATTTACAGAGGGGGATTCATGATAAAACGAAAGAACTTCAACTGCAACATGAGGCTGTGATGATTGATTTCAAACAATCTCAGCTTTTGGCAGCAAGTTCTACAGCATCAGGCTTCGAGGATGCTTCTTTCATTTTAGTCATGCATTTGGCAAAAAATACAGCAGCACCAAGGCGTCTTGGGAACGTATGATGCTGTAGATTCTATTCTGAGAATTCTATGGGCCGATTGCATGAACGATGTTTTCCCGGTGTTTTTCGAAAGTCATCGGTTAACCGATGTCTAAGGCCAAAAATGGATTGCATGAACGCTATCTTCCTATAACCATTGTCTAACACCCCCCCCCCCCCCCCCCCCCCCCCCCGAAATGAAATCCTAGATACGACCCTGTGTCTTGAGGAATTCGTCTCCACTCCCGCCGCAGGACTAGCTTCAATGAATCCAAACTACGGTGACGAGTCACATTGACTTTACTCTCCAAATTGCCCCAGATGCTGAAGTCTAAGGGATTCACATCGGGGGAACATGGTGGCCATTCCGCAGGACTGATGAATCCCAGGACGTTGTTCTGCAGCCACTGCTGGGTCGTCTTCGCCTTGTGAGCCGGTGCTGAGTCCTGCTGGAAGACCCAGTCGTTTCCATTTAAATGCTTCCTTGCCCACGATCCCAAACACTTCTCAAGGATGTCTCGCTGGTAGATCTCGGCGTTGATCTTAACTCCCTGATCCACGAAAACCAGTGGAGTTCGCCCATCTGAGGTTATCGCCGCCCAAACCATTACAGATTGGGCTCCTTGACGTCTCGTGACCAGAAACCGATTCCAATCGGTAGAGGAATCTTTTCTGCACCAGACACGGTCGTTCTGTTTGTTCACAACCTGCTTCACCGTGAACAGTTTCTCATCAGAAAAGACGATCCTTTGATGCCTGCCGTTCGCGAAACGAGTCATCAGCGTTTTTGCTCTTTCCAGTTGTACGGCCTTCTGACAAAATATAATGAAAAGAATGACTCGATGCAATAAGAAAAAAAGCTCAACCTCCTTTGATGCGCGAAACGCGCACATGATGAAAAAAGAGTGGGACAGGACTTTTGACTCACCCAGTAGATGTCTCTGGAGAGGCCTTCACTTGGGACGGTCTCGCACGTGGAAATGAATAGCGTGATTGGTTGGGTCCCGGCGTGGAGGTCCCCAGGCATGTAGCCCGGGGCAAGTTGCCTCTTTTGCCCTCCCCCTCTCCATGTGTCTGCAATGAACTCCTCGTGCGACTTCAGTAAGATGGCGGCCGTGCCTAGAAGGGTGCAGCGACTCGCGTCATAGCGGAGGCCCCGCCATTTATTCACTCTCTATAGTATGGACATGAATGGACCCATGGCGGGGAAAGAGAGAGAGAGAAAAAAAATACCCACAAGTATAGAACACCATGGACTTTGAGGGGAATCAAAATACAAATACAAAGACTCAAATTTAAGTAGCCATTGGTTAAGCATTTCACGCGTTAGATTGATCGGGTGTTCACCCTTGCATACGTAAGAAAACTGTAATTAATGACCATTTTTCATTAAAATCGTTTATTTCGAAGTGCCGTTTTAAGGATGCCGTTTGTGCAATATTGTATTCAATATTAATTTTTTCTCTTAAGTTTTCAATAGACGGTTTCGTTTTATTCATATGTGAAACAAAAATAAAATGTTTACATACCAAGATTATGAAATTAACTGCCCAGCTGATTCCAGGTGATCCGAGAACAACATCAGATTTATCCAACGGAGGAAGATTACTTTCGTCCCTCAGAAAACCGTCAATTGCTCTCCATAAATCCGCTGAGGGTTTACATTCTCACAACATGCGAAGAGTATCCACGTTCTTCTTGCACACCGGACAAACTGAGGAGTTCTTCTACTATCTTACACATGTGGAGAAAGGAGTGCGTGGGTAGCATACGATGAAGAAGTCGAAATTGAAAAAAGTGCAATAGCGAAGACAGTAGTTTTGTAGAGTAAGCAGTAAAACCCTTTCCAATCTTTTGTCGTGTAGTGCTTGAATAAATCCCTGTTCCATTTCCATTTCGATTTCGATTTCGATTTTGTTGAACCGTCAACTCTTGGTGTAAAGGATGCTGAGTTTTTACAAGTGCCCAATAAAAAAAGGATGTTTCATAGGCTTTGCACGGAACAGGAGATGGCGGACTCTGGTCACGCAATGCAAAGATTGGTGTACTCTTCTCCATTCAGTGGGGATACTTAAAATAAGGTGATAGTGCTGTAGAAAATTTAATATCGTGTTGAATTTAGCATTTATTTCGTGGATGAAAAGAAAACGGCCCTCTTCAATGATATCCATGATGAAACGCATTCCTCTCTTCACAAGTCGACATATAAAGCTTCTTGGAAACGATAATGGTATGTGATCATTTAAGAAGGGGGATTCATCAAATGCATTAGTGATGATAGCAAGGGAACGGAACATAGCAGCTGCCCAAGAAAGAGAAAACTCATTCAAGTGAAGTCGAACATTTTGTGGTGGGCAAAATATAAAGGGCTGTCCGATAAGGAGCAAGCCTGAACGAAAAGTAAAAACCGCATCTCTCACTCTTCCGCTGGGGGGGGGGCTGTGCTGTGTTTTGCCATTTCGAAATTAGTAGCAACACTCGCAAGAGAGAATTCCAAATAAGGGGGGATATATTATGATAAAAAAAGCTGGTATTTGCTTTATGTCATCATTCCGTACCATATACTTAAATTCCCTATCCAGTGGAGGGAGTCGTATGCGTAGACAAGAATCTCGTTCCTGCCAAGGACTTGTTTATATGCCCTCGATAGGCAGGAGGCTTAAGACAGTACAGACGTGGATCTTGACTGCATTGATCACAATACGTGTTAAGGGATGGACCACCTCGTACGGTTCCATGAAATATCCGCAAAATCAGTCCTTCATTTCCTCCTTCTGCCGTGGAGATGAGGGAATAGACGAAATTGAGTTCACGGACACCCTCCCTCTATTTTCGATCTCCTTTTCGCATGATTTTCTCCTGTCTTTCAATGGGATTCTCATCGGGAATATGAGTTTGTTTATGGCCTGAGCCCCATGAATCTGTCTTGAATAAGTGGATAACAAATGATTAAATTTCCGCGTTCATTGATTCCTATAATGAGATTAGGCGAGACATATGGCGAGGTACTAAACAATCCTACGAAGGACGATTCCAGGGAAAGAGGGAAGGGAACTTTTGCGTGCTATGCGAAAAGCGAGATCCGATACCTACATCTAGTGGCCTGGTGAAGAACTTCAAGGTTTTGAAGTTCTCCACCAGGAGTGCTGCAGTTATTTTCAACGTGTGGAGATGCCCACATGGGGCCAACATCGTTCCCCAACATTCACGTTCCGCCAACGTTTTCCACCTTAATCCAATGTGGGCCCGACGTAACGTGTTATCTGGCTGACTACCCACACAGCACAGGGATATCCCCTTGGGACAAGTCCCGGACATCACTTGTGGGGACATCTCAGGGATATCAAAATGTCTGGGCGTAAAGACATCCCAAGGATGTCTCTTTCTTGCAGCACAAGTATATCCGAAGGATAACCGAGGGATGACCAAGAACTTTCAATTTGGAGTTGACAGATCAATGTTGTTTCAACATCAGCTGAGTTGACGTCAAACGTTGAATAAATGTTGATTCACCAAGGGTGTGCTACCTGGGTAGCCTCAGACCTTTTCAATCCCTTTCATACAATTCGATTTTGTACAATGGATAATGATTACCGAAAATTTAGGAAAATGACAATATTCACATGGGTGGAGGAGTGGTGTAGCCAAAAGGCAATCAGGGAAATCCCGGCAAGAAAGGGCCGATTGCATGAACGATGTTTTCCCGTTGTTTTTCGAAAGTCATCGGTTAACCGATGTCTAAGGCCAAAAATGGATTGCATGAACGCTATCTTCCTATAACCATTGTCTAACCGATGTCTAACAGAAGCTGAAAAAGGTCTCGTTTCCAGACGAGGGATGGGGCATGTTTTGCCGATATTTATGCCCGCGTTCGTGTTCCATCTCGATGAGTATAGCGCTGCAGTGTACTGGTGAAGCACGATGGATTCTGTTTATGGATCCGCTCGATAACGGCGATGTGCTCTCGTCGTCGCATGGGAGGAATAAACATAGGTTCTGGGCGTAATCCCTTTGAAGAATATGTCGATTAGAACTTCCGTGTGAGATACTGATCTGGAAAGGGATCAGGATATGATGTCGACCCGAAGATCGCGGAAGGGATCCCTTATCTTTAAATCGACAGATAAGAGCAATCACTGTTCGTGTGCAATGAATCGTGATTTGTTCAAGTACCCATCCCCTGAGTAATTAATTAATATGACTCGAAAGTGAAGTTAGTATCATGAAAGCCTTTCGATTTGCATGCTATGCCGACCCTTCGATTTTATGTGGCGTCGAATCCTAGA